TTCAGCATGGAACAATGTTACCTTACCGATGGCTGGAGGCTTCCCCCTGTGCAAGCTTAAACACATCCTGATGTTTTATTCAAACAAATGACATGCAGGGACAAATGTTTTAAGAGCGGAGGGCATAGAAAAATGATCTCGTTAAGCTACAGAAAAGTAACTAAAAAAGGATGGAAGCTGAACTGGGTAACTAGATGCGCAATACTCCAGGGATACCTTGGAGCATTTCCCAAGGCTACAACAATCAGAGATGTAATCAGTAAGAAACAGTAAATACAAAACGGAAGATGAGCTACAGGCATTGTGAAAGACTTTAAACCTGTTCAGAACAGAATCATTACTAGGGTCATACTGAGATCAAAAAAGAGAGTGAAATGGTATTAAAAGATAATGAATATTCAGAACATGTAATACTAATGTTCTCCTATTCCAGAAAATGGTTATTAAATTTTCCCATTGCCTCTTACTTTGCTATACTTTCACACAGAAAAAAGATGCAACTTTTACGCCTGACGTGCAGTGCAGTCTGTAAATAGCTATATTGTCACCCATACTTGGCCAAGACAAACCTATTTTAAACTACATTACAAAGTGTGAGCCAGACTTTAATGCCTTTATTCACGTCAGCCAGCACCTTGCAATCCAACAGTCGCTGGCGCTGTTTGAGGAGTGCGAGGCAGTGCCACGACGGTGGCGCAGTCTGACTCTCTGAATACAGCGGTTGACTTCTAAACAGGGACTGAAGCGCTAATATTTTGTACCAATATTTGAGAGCATCGCCACTTCCTTAGAGTGTGTTACCTTTACAGCCTTACCTTGCTCTTCAAATAACTGTTGTCGTTGCTGGATTATACGAGGTACATAAATGGAGATTGCAGAGCTGATAGTATTTATTTTTTCTGCTGTAGACCAGAACACCGTTGTGCTAAAAGCCACGCAGCCAGCCTGCAGCCTCCGCCCTCCTCAAAAGCCCTGAGCCCCGGTGCTAAAGGGCAAGGGTAAGCACTGCCTCTGGAAAGCAAGACAATTATTTAGGTGAGTCGGGCATGCACCGCAGTGGTTGACACAAGGTGTGAACACTTCAACAAGTTAAGCAGGAATTTATAGAATTTTTTTTTAATGTGATTTCAGGTGACTTCTTACTTAAACATATTTTTAAAAGGAAAAAAAAAAAAGCTAGGAAAGAAGCCAGGAGGCTGTAAGGGATGGCAAAGGCCATGCTCCAAGCATAGAAGCTTTTGGTATATTACTCAAGTTAAATTAAAGATTCCGTAACTCATTTCACTTCATTAAACCCACTAAAATAACAGCGCAACTTTTCAATGGCAGGATTAATTTTTGAAGCAGTACAAGGGCATTTAGTTTCAATGCCTGCTGTAACTTGATTGAATCAGACAAATGAAGTAAATGACCTCTATCTAGCAAGGTTATAGTTATAGCTGGACTTCTTATGTCTTAAGAAGATTTGTGCTGAAGTACACAAGAATGGGAATTGCAATGTAAGCAGCGTACTAAAATATCATAAACGAGGTGCTATCACTTGCTGCTGGAGCAGGAAGGGTTAAAGGGTGCTGCAGGGGTGTTTTACATGCTTTTCAGGGCAGGTGTTCACAACTGTGATTCCTCAGTAACCAGATGTTCTCTGCTGTTCTTATTAAAATGTATTGTTTAATTTTAAACCAATGTTTTAAATTAACTTAATGGTAATGCTCCAGGGGAAACAAATTTCTAAAATCAGGCACTGGACAAAACAAACGCTGGCCTACATTTTTGGAAAGGATGAGAGTTTTCAAGTGCCCTCAGTATTTAATACCTAAAATTAAATGTCATAGGAATGACATGGAATAGCTACTTGATGAAAATATTGTTAATTTAAAGAGGATTAAATTGCACATAAAAATTATCCAACCCCTTTAGAAAATTTAGATGGTTTTTAAAAAAATTAGAAATCCTGGTTTTATTTTACAGTTTTATATTGGTGACCACAAGTGGTTTTTTTTATATTATATCCTTTACTCTAGTATTTTAAATGCAATTAAGACTTTGGAAGATCAAGACTTTCCTTTGGCTACACCAGGCAGAATGAAAGGTACCCATGGCATCTAGGAATACTGGGACATGTGCAAGGAGATACCAAGCAATTGCAGCTTAGGCTGCAGGGACCTGCTCTTATATGGGATTCAAGCTTCAAACATTAAAGCAACTGGGCTTGGCCAACCAGACAGAGGAGGGTAGAAGCGAAATAAATTCCGGAGTGATGAAATTACTTTGGACAACTTAATGAAAAAAAAGCTCAGATCCCACTGAGCCATTAAATGATTGATTTCCACATGGAAGCACCCATCTCCTCTGACAAGCCTTTGACAAAACTGTTTCTTTATTTTCATGTGGAACGATTCTTGACCAAAAGATTAAAAAGACTGAGGGGAGAAAGGGACAGAGCGGATTGAGCCCAATAGACAGGAGAAAATATGTTGAAAGACTGACATAAAGGTAGCATTTGCAGATATTTGGATTGCTCAATATTCAGGCCAAGTTGATGGTAAATTATATACGAACACAAATACTTTTCAATCTTCCAACTTATAATTTAACATTTTCTTTTGATGGTTGTCTTTAAGTCCTGATATGTCAAGTAAGTTACTGGCAAAACATCAAAACTAATTTCCCAGAGATCACCAACTACCTACCTTTTGCTAATCTGGAGCTCCGAGGCTCTGTTACAACGTGAAATCGCAGTGGTCAGCATCAGATTGCAAGTGGCATCCCAAAGGGCTCTGAATTAATCTGTGGAGTCAGCCAAGCTACCAAAGCGATCGTGGCTGAACACGTGGAAGTCCCGCAAACCCTGGCGTCCCTGGTAACTGCTGTAACAGTCAACTTTTGCTGTGTGCAAAAGCTGAATTTAAAATGTTGATGCTCTAAATGCCATGTCACTAGTTATTTTTGGAGCTGTCTCCCCAGATGCAGCCGTTTCTAAAATATTGAAAGAACGTGCTAATATCCTTACAGCCATAGCCATACTCCAGTCCCTTTCTCCGTTGCTCTTTGTTTCATTCATGCCTTCTGAAGTCTAAAATAGTTTAAAATTTCTAAAATGAGCTGCAATGAGTCCAGAGAGAGAGAAGTTTGACTTTTGTTCGCTTTAAATCCTTAGAGATAGAGATCTCCATCCTTTCCCCAATTCTATCAGACCACACTATTTCCCTCCAGACACACCGCATCGTGCACCTGTAAGGCGCCCTGGTCATTGCTGAGATAAGCCAGTACAGATGAGTACAATCTGTTTGGCAAAGGATGAGGGTGACAAACGTTGTGGTTGCTCCAGGAAGTGAAGCTCCCCTTACTTCCTACCGAGCCCCTTTGTAAGGGGCAAGACCAGTTGCCTGTTGATCCTCTCCCAGCAGCACAGATGCAGAGGGGAGCACAGCATTGGTTCCACTCGCTGGGCAGACTAACAGAGCCAAGACTGCAGAGCTGGGAGCTGGTAAAGCCTTACTGGTTTAAGCCAACAGTAGCTTTTTGCCTGGGAGCAGAGAAAAATGGGAAGACTTAACTCAGCATCAGTGTTCCCAGGGCATACACTGGTTAAGCCTGTAATGGGAATGTAGAAACTAACTCTAAAAATCAGAATATGTATGCTTTAGGGTTAATTAAAATGAAATCCTAATTCAGAGGGCTCTCATTCCGCACACCACGGGCTCTAGCTGGGTTTTGCCACACACTACCAAATTGTCTCCACTTCTGAAGTAACCGTGCCAAGAGAGGAAACAGCATAGTAGTACCCATTGTACAGGTCCACTGCTTCCATTCAGTTCCTGCAGACTCAATGGCAGAATTAATTGCAAAATAAAATGCATGTAATTGGATTAATTAACAGTACATTTCAAGGTCCTGAAATACAGAATTAGCCACGGGGTAAATGCACAATGCAGGTTTCTCCTGCAAACAGAGCAAGTGCTATTTTTGGAGCTGTATCTGTGTCTCATCGAGGTGTGCCTTGCTTAAAAAGCTGCTAGGATAAGAAACGGGGCTTTGAAGCGGGAAGATAAATACTATAATTAGGGCTGCAGGACAACAAAAGGATTATTCTTAAATATAAAATTGTTTGAGTGAAGTTGCTTGAAAGATATCTAAAATTGCTTGCATGGGGGTCTAATATTTTCTTTACAAGGACTTACAAGTCTCATTGAGTATTTATGGGCCTGGAACATAAGACTGGATGAAATTTAAAACATAAATTCAATTGCAATTTATTGTGATGAAATTCCCTAGCAGTTGTTGCCCCAACCTTTATGCCTTAATAGACAGGCTTCATGTTGCAGAACACAAGCCCATGTGATAAATGATATCAAAGCTGAATGCCTCTGATTGATGAACTCTGCCTCGTTTGATGACTGTAAAACAGTCCTGAGGGCTGATCTCACCGGTGTTTTGGTTGTTTTCTTTTTTTTTCCCTTAATGCATATATTGCAGAAGGGTTGTTTTTGCTTCTGGTATGGTTATCACATGCAAATGAGCATGCTGTTTCCCAGATGCAGATTTCATATTTATAGATTAAAGACAGCCTGAAAAATTGTATGTTAATTACATTCTGAGGGTGTAGCAGAATTTCTCACTTGAACATGTTTTGTTTTGCTGGAAATAGCGCAAATTCCAGATCAATGTATTTAGTTGCTTGAAGCTTGGCAATAAATAGATCACACTTTAGAAAAAGCTTTCTAATCATTACTAATAATTTACTGTTAGCGCAATGCTTAGCGACTTCTATCCCACATTATGTATTTGTTTATTTGTTTTTAATAATCTGTATTTCTCAGAAGACAAGCAATACTATAGGAAGCGGGGTGGGAGGAGGGCTAAGGCTCAAAGCCAAAGAAGATTATCAGAGATACACTGGCAGAGGGATCTATGAGAAGATGTTTTGAGAAGAACAAGACTCCCTGCAGCTATCAGAGATACACTGGCAGAGGGATCTATGAGATGTTTTGAGAAGAACAAGACTCCTTGCAGTCGGCTGAGCTATAAATGGTCTTTTTTTTCCTATTGCCTATAAAGGTCCCATACCACATACATCATGCTGAAAATCCATGTTCTGGGCTCCCTCCTTTAGTATATAGTTTGCTGTGGCCCAAAGAGACACTGCAATCCCGTGAGAGGCTGCAGCACTCACTGGTATCAGAGATGTCCAAAGAAATATGGCTCCTTCTGAGACAGCAGAGAAAATCCAACCGGCTGATTCAGTTGCAGATTTAGAAATGGTTCAGTACTAGATGTTGGCTGGTGGCTTTTAAACTGAGAACATCCCAGCATGTCAAAAGACACACCAGAAATATTTAGGAAAAGTGTGCTCAAAAGGGAGTGTAGCAATTCTTGTGTTTGAGATCAGACCAGTTTTGCCCTTGGGGACTGTGTTACCGAAGGCAGTGCTGAGCAGAAGCGCATTACAATAAAAGGAGGGGAACGTTTTGGAGAAGTCAATATACAACATTCAAATTATTTTCTCATTTACTGTCCCAATAGCTGCAACACATCAAAAATAAAGGGGAAAGCTTAAAATACACAGTGAACTTCATTATTACAAAGAAAAGTCTGGTACAACAACCGTTCAAATCAATAGAAAACTTCTCACTGGTTCTCATGGGGGTAGGATCAAGCCTATACAAAGCAAACAGTTTCTCAATAACAAGTAGTTAAAAATATAACCCTCTTTTCTGATATAAATGTAAGTCCTTTGATGACCAATTGTGGATTCAAAGATATTGTCCATAACCGCTGGGCTAGCCGGAATGATTAATATGGACTTCAAGCACAGATAAGTCTTTTTAAAATAGCCTGCTGCAGTATGTCACAATATAACCTAAAAGCCACAAACGAGAACAAACAGTACCAAAATACATAGTAAATTGAAAATACCTCCCCGTCCCCCCCCCACCCCACCTTTACAGCTCTCTCAAATCTTTTAGTAAATAAGTAACCACAGAGGTACCAAAGAAACTGGCAAACTAAGAGGTAGTTTATGTAACAAATCATCTCTGTCAGCAAGCACGTCTTGCTGCTGCGGGCAGTGCTGTGCAGTTCTGGCATCTGAAGCCATGTATGGCTGTCAGGTGCTGTGCCAACCTCCTTGCGCTAGTCCCAGGACCCAAGACAAAATGCAGGCACAGGACTGTTTGGCCGTATCAGCTTATCTGAAAGCAATTTAGGTACTCACAGGGCAGTACAAAACATGCCCTATACTCCTCACTTTCCCTAAGCATCAACACTCCATTTGCTTTTTGGCCCCCCAATCATTGTGCAGTCAATAGACTCACTGATCTTTCAGTCTTAGGAAAGCTTTCATCTTAACAATTTTATACTCTGTATATGTAACTAATCTGGGTGTTATGAACATGTATGTGCATGTCACGTGTACCCGAATACATTCAGATTGCTACAACTGGAAAGAAAACTGCTACTGCAGTTTGGTTAGGATGCAACATGATCAGAACATCTGATGTAAGCTCTATGTGGTAGAGTATTCCACTGTGTACAAGAAATCGTCCCTTTGAGGCCTTACAACAACAAAAATTTTGTGGCTGCTCAAAGAGTGTACTTCTCCTGTGTGATCTCACAAAATGATACTGGTCTGTGATGAATTGGTACACTAGAGACAGTGTGCTGAATTAGATAAATTTGATAGTTTGAAGTAGCAGGCAACTCCTGTGATGCTTGTATGTTTGAATAGAATAATAATGCATGTCTTACTATCTCTTCTAAAAAGAAACCAAGAGAAACCCAAATCTAATTACATGTCCATCATTAAGGTGCTCTACACAGACTGCTGGGTATCAGCTGTAGTCTTGCAATTCACTGGAGGCTTAGGACAAGATTCTGATAGGCTTTTCTTTCACTTTCCCATGAATGATGTTTCTTCACGTAGTCTTTGGCCCTTGTTACAATTTCTCTTTCCATAATGGGGTCATTCATCAAACTCTTGGACAGCACAACAAACTCCTAAAAAAGATAAAAGAAAATAATAAATTAAAAGTTCCTTGAAGTTCTAATGATACTGAAATAGCTTGTACCCATATCTTGATTTCGGTAAAGCACTTCAACTGTGAGACAATATATGAAGCTGTTCAAAGTAATTTTTCAAGGTCAAGTACCATAGTTTATTTATAAGCAATGATCAATAAATAATTATTTTATGTATTATTTTATGCAGCTCACCAACTAAGACATTTAAAATCAAAGACAATCCCAAGACTGTTAGGGCAAATATGGGCAACAAATTTAATGACACAAAAATTGTTTGCCTACCCAAGTGTTAGAAAACCAGGCTGGTTATAAATTAAATAATTCATCTGGTTTCCTGCATGGAGGACACCTGGCATTAGATTGTTTAATCTCAGCTCAGCT